TATTCCTTTCTTGTATATTATTCCAAGTGAAAAATAGTTACTGTTTTAATTTTTAGTGTTAATAATGTCAATGTGCACATCATCTTTCATTTCTCATTTTCAAAGTTTTATGCTAAGTAAAACATGTATTTTTAAGAGCATACAAAGGCTAAGGTAAAATGCCTATTTATTCTTAATATTAACTTTAAAAATTAACATTTATTTCATATTAGAGTAATAAGATACATAGATGTAATGTGGTATGTTGCTTCTGGATGTGTTTTTGCTTAGTGGAAATCATTGTTGTTGAAAATATTTGCACAAACTTTTGCTCCTGCCTGTGATGATAGCTCTTTGTAGCTCTTGCAAAGCCTTTAAACTCATTCAGGGGCTTATATTCCTTTGCCTCATGTGGTATAGTTTCCTGAATAAATTATTTTCTTGCAAATGCTACATTCACCTGAATGTGATGCTTTTAAGAGGTAACTTGGGGAGTAACTTGGATTACAATGCCAGTCTCCTGTACTTTCAGGGAGGAGCTTACACACATCTATTGACAGCAGCATTGCTGCTCATATGGCAGATCCCTTTGTGTCACAATCCTTTTCACACTGTCACCTGAGTCTTTTGATTCAGTTGCTGAAGACCATGACAAGGGTTTGGCTCTGAGCTGGGGCAAAACAGATGAAGAACAGGAAACGAGTAGCTTTTCATTTTGTTTACAGGACTGATGCACACACTGGTTAAAGTCATGCAGGAAATCTTTGGCAAAGCAGAGAACCTTTCTGGTCTCAAACCAGATCTACTCATAAAGATTCAATGATGTAAATACACCACCAGCTGAGCTCCATCAGAAGTTGTTCCCAGGACAGAGGCAGCATGTGCAGTGTTGAGTTTTGTCTGAGAAATTTAAAAATATTTGATGTTTTTAGAAGGTATTTTTCTAGAATAAAGTCTTTCCACTGCTACTAGTAATTAACTGGTATTTGCAACTACCCAGTCTAAGCACGTGGAGAGGAAACAATGCCGATGACTGCTAAGACTGTATTTGAAAATAAACTAAAGGTGTCTCCTGTTTTACCTTATTTTTTTCATTGTAGTATCAATATCAGCAAGTAAAAAAATGATAAATGCTAAAATTAGCTTCTTATTTCTTTTGACTTAGATTTTTACATTTCAAAAAAGCAGAGAAAGCCTTTTCCCAGCTCTTTAATGCACTCAGAAAAATGTGTCAGCACTTAGTAATTAAATACTTTAATTTGGAAACAAATAAATTGGAATCATGAAGTGCTTAAGAAGTTTTGTAAAGGCTGTTTAGAATTTTGACATATCTTCTAATAGGATATTAAGGTTATTTTGAGTTACACTTACTCTATACTAAGCAGTTTCCTTAGAAACTGTATGTGCTTCTAAAGCACAAACTGTCCAGTAGAACTAAGTAAATAAGGGCCTACTCTCACCTTGGGCTGATAAAATCCTTTGGTGGTTCAAGACTTCAGAGATAATTGTATCAGAATGGGTAAGTACTTATGAATTTGTAAGTTTGAATTTGCTGGGTGGATAATTTTCAAAATTGTTAATATCAATGTTTTTATTAATAAAGTGTAACTGAGCTAACAGGTTTTTTGTATGTTTTTAATTTTTATTTCTCTAGCCTCCAAAACTCTTATTAATAGCATGCTACGGGACCCTTCTCAGATTCCAGATGGAGTGCTAGCAAATCAAGTCTATCAGGTATTAATCACACTTGTTTGGTTTGGTTTGGGTTTTTTTTTTTTTTTCTTTCCTGTGGCAATTCTGTTATCTGCCTAGCAGAGTAAAAGATTTTAAACCTCATTTAATTACTGTCATCATAAACTATCAGTGAGGTCAGAGTGCACTGTAAATGGCAGTGCAATATTTGTGAGGGGAGCATTTCACTTTTTAATAGCTTGCTTTTATAGTGAATAAAAGCATGCAGTTTTTGTTTTCTGTGATTAAATCTGAACAGCATCTGATAGCCTTTTTGAGGAAAAGTAATTACTGTTTTTAAGATACTCTTTAACTATAATGGTTTTGTAGTTGCCCATCAGTATACTACTTCTCTTATTTGTCTGCAGTGTACTGTGAATGACTGTTGTTATGGACCACTGGTGGACTGCATCAAACAGTATCCTTTCCCATAAAATTTTAGGTGCACAATTGATGAGCTTAGACTGTGTGGAAGAGATGTGTCTAGCTTTAACCTGACATAAAGTTCTGCTTCACAAAACACATTTCATACTCCTCTCTTTTACATTCAGTCAGCTAGAGGGTCACTGCAGAGCTTTCTCTGAGCTAACAAGTATCAGATGGACCATGGGAAGATGTCAGTTTGCTGGTTACACATTCATATCTATGCCTGATTGAACCTCTTTGGTTTTGATTCGTTGAAATGCATATCTGGTTTTTGCTTTAGACTAATAGACCATGCTTTGACTGGTGGGGTTGGACTAGACGATCTCTGGAGATACCTTCTAATCTCAGTTATTCTGTGATGAAATTAATAAATTACATACATAGTGTTCAACATTATGGCTTTGCTTTGTTATGAATATGAGTTTTAACTAAAATTTTTTCAAGTGCAGTTCAGGTGTGATTGACTGATTAGTATTTTTAAACTCCTATCTGACACTCCAGTGCAGTTCTTTTATTTCTCTTCTTCTTAAAGGAGATTTAGGTGTAGTAAAAAAACCTTATATATATATAAAATAGAATATTTGCAGGGATTTTTTTTTGTAGTGTTGAAATAGTTAATCAGAGAGCCATATGGTGTGTACACTGAGGGAACTCCATGTGGCACTGGGTGTTCCAGACTAAGATTATAATTTGGTAGGAATGATTGCTAAGAACCCAAATCTATTTTAATAAAATCCTGAAGGAGCAGCTCTTCTGTTTCAGTCTGCGGTCAAAGGAAAACTTTCAAAATCATGGCCTGCTGTCACTGAGCAGGCTAGTAAGGCAGTTCCTTCCCAAGTCCTAGAGAATCCTTGCATAAATCTGCATGCAGTTTGGGGGAAAATCCTGGTTTTGCTGTACAGGTGCAGATAGGAAAGCTGCAGTGATGTTTAGTTATTAATGAAAACCAGTACTTTGTGTAGTTGTGATACATGTGAGTGTCACTCCTTAAAAATACTTACTTTCTGCTAGAAACACTTTTGTCTACTACATCCTCTGCCCTATCCCCATTAATTTTAACAGCAGCAGGATAAAGTTCTAATTGTCTTTGTATTTTGTGCTTTTAATTGTAATTTTAAATATTCATTGAGACTATCTTCACGAGTAAACAAAGTGCTCTGAAAGTGGATTAATCTAATAAGCCACACATTTTAAAGGGCTGTTGATCACTGGTTTTCATATCCAGAATTTTGAGATTAATATTTTGTGGATGAGCAATCTGGCTGTAGTTTTATGAAAGTACCAAGTTAAAAGTAACAAAGACATGTATGTAGAATTATGGACCATTTTTAAGACTTATTTGCCTGCAGTCTAGAAAAGATTTTTATATCCTCCTCATATTCTGGCTCAAATCGGTTGTTGAATATGCAGTGACATCAATGAGAGTAATTAGGAGTTTTTCAATTCCATTTGGTACAGAAAAGTTTAATACTAAGCTGTGTGAGTGCATTACTGTAAGTATGTTGCTGAATTAGATGTTAATTTTGAGGTGCATAAAATAGTTAAAAATCAATTTAAAGTTAAGGTTTTAAAAGCATAATGTCTTCTGAAGGATTGCATATTGATTTTAAATATAACTATCTAATTGTATATGCGTGGACCAAAGTATGAAGTCAACCTCTTTGTAAATGCCAAGAGGCTATTTTTCAGTAATAGTTCAGATGCTTACGGGAAACTAGGCTGCTAGATTGCATGAGTAGAAAATGGCTTGTGATGTTATTTACAAGTTTTGCCCCATGGTCATTGCCATACATCAATAACAGGTATTATTGTAGACTAAGTGTTTTTGCTTATGGTGCATTGTAAGTTCTGTTTGCAGTATTTTTCTTACCTTTTTGCCATTCTTCATTTGTCCCTTCTGAAATTGCTAGTAGAGTTTAACATAATACATAGTTTCAATTGATATAAGCTGTATGTACATATGAAGTGATTCCATAGAATTATTTCTTTGCTGTTCAGTATGAAGGGTTCATATAAGGTAATTACTTAACCGTAATAGTAAGATGATCTGTAGTTTAAGTTTTAAGAAGTTACTTTAAACAGAATTTGGAGCCTAACTGCTTTTAACATTAGATCTTTTGTCATATTATTCCATAGGATTCTTCTTAAAAGCTTCCAGAATAGAACTTTGACCTCCAGGAGGATATATTAAAAATGCTTAATATGGTGATTTTTTTACATATTCCAGTGAATAGCACATTGGATCAACAGGCTGTCAGTGAAGTGAAAAGGACCTCACTATAAAATATGGCTTCATCTTTCCCTAACATTAGTTCATGCTTCTGAAAAATCAATTGAAAGGATTTTTTTTTTACAGGAAAATGTTTCAGATTAATGTAGTACCTATCAATTTCAGAATTTAAGAAAGAAAACCAGTTTGTTTCATCCTTTGCTGGATTGGAGAATTGGTTACTAGTCAGTAAAGTGGAACTTTAAAGGTATTTTACTGCATGTTTTAAGATCACACTGTCTTTTATATTTAGAAGAATAAACAGTATGGAATGCGAAATGGAAATACTGCCCTTAAAGATACTGAATAAATATGGTCAGATTGGTTTTAATTCTATAAAGTGTATGCTGTTGGTACAATAATCTGATTTTTGCAAAGTTGTGTATGCTTCTAAAAATCACTATAAGGATTTTCAAAACTTAGAGTTCATATCACTGGTCACTTCTGAAATGCAGATGAAGGCAAATAAATTCTATCTATGATGTTTCTATGAAGTAGCTTCTTTTCCAAAGTAATCTTCCATTTCTTAACCTGAAGCTATCAGCGCTATTGGGCATGAGCACGAAGTCTTGCTGCGAGAAATGCTTTTGGAAAAAAATCTCTCTTTCATAGGTAAGAATCTGTAGTAGAGGCTATCCAGTGAAGTCTTGACTTTAGAGATGTTGGTAACTGTTTACCTAGGATAAAATTCAGCCCAAATGCTCCTTATATTAGGTAGTGAAGGAAGAGTAAAATATGATTGATGCTATATCTGTTATCTTTTATTGATTTAGAACTGAGCAGGAACTCAGTTACCTAATATCCTATATATACAGCACATGCACAGGCTTGCAATTAATATTTTATAGAATAAGTAGCTGAAAAAAATGCTTTAATATCTGCTGTAGTATTACTTTTGGTGTCATGAGATATTAGCCATAATCCAGGCCTTATGAGATTTAGGAAGAAGCATATGAAATATTAGCTTCAGAATGCTTTATGTATTAAAGAACTGCTAGAAGATTCACTCATTTACTTTGCTGTGCAGTTTCTACTGAATTTTTTCCCAATCAATGCAATTACTCTTTTTTACACCCCCAATTTTTAGTTATTTTAAGGATTAATTAGTTAGGAAGCTACTTCCATTTTTTTCTTTTAGCCTGCAGCATGTTTCTTTTACCTAAGTGCCATTGAAACAAAGATTAATGTGTAAAGTATCCATTCTGTAAATGTGATCACAAACAATGACTTCTTAAATCTTGGATTCATTATGTGATGGAAAGACAGTGAAGTGAAATGCTCTCTTCTGTTAATGGTTGAGCATTGTACTAAATTTGTGTGAATTTTTCTGGGTTTACCTGGAGATATGATCTCTACTGAAGCTATATGAGGTTAAGATTTTGGAAACCTTAAACAAATTTAAGAAGTTAGAAAGCTAGAAAGTTAGAAGTTTTTAAGCTTTTTAAGAGATTTGTCCATATTATTTAGGAACAGAATTAGTATGCTCTTTTATTTTAGAGAAAAGTGAAAAAAGGACAGGATTAACTATCACATACAAGCTTGCAAATGACACTATGAAAATAAAAAGAGGCAGATTTTCTTATTTCACTATAAGAGCATAGATACAGGTAATAGGCTTAAGCTGTAATTGTAGAAATGATGGCAAGTTAAAATGCCAAACAGTTCTAGGAACAATAAATATAAAACAAACTGCCAGGAAGGGTTGTGGAATCACCTTCAATGAAAAATTCAAGTCTGGATTTGACACTCATCTATCAAAGCTGGTAATGAAATCAATCCCATCACAATACAAGGGAATGGACTGGATGGCTCACTAAGGGATCCTCAACCCAACGAATTATCATTTTATTTGGCTTGTGTAAGCTTAAGCAGTATAAAAATCACATTTAAATTTTACTGTTTAATGAGTTTGGATAAGGATAAATTTTTTCTTTAGAAATTAGCTCCAAGAAATTTGTGCTATTGAATTAAAATATCTAGAATAGGTTAACTTGTTAGAATACGAAGATAGAAATGAGAGAGATTAGTTTGTTATTCATAATTTTTATATATAGTGAAATATTGTTTAGTCATGATTTAAGATATGTTAAGATTTGCATTTATTATATCTGTGATCACGGATGTATTTCAGATTTTAGACGTGTTTGGGATATTCTTTAAAAAACCCTTTTCCCTAGTGTCTGTAAGACGATCCCTACCAAGTCCCTTGCAATACAACCTTTCCTTTCTGAAAAACTAGTTCCAAAATTGCTTGAAGAAAACACCAGAAAAACAGAAGAGATGCCAGTATTTCCCATAGGTCTACAAATTCGGGCTTTGTTGCATAATTTGTCATTCCCGTTTTGAAGAAGGCTTATGATTTACATGGCTTATGGCTTGTAATTCCATTACTTTTTAACAAGTTTCAAAGAAACAGAAATTTTGCAATTGCAGTTCCCATATTAGGGTACTGTTCCACTGTACTGTCCTTCAACAATAGTCAGGGGGTTTGTATCAGATGTGTTCACCTGGGCAACAGAGAGTCTAGTACAGGAGAGGAAAGTACAGTCAAAGGACGCAGTGGATATGAAGTGCCTCAGTATAGTCTTAGAGCATGAAGCAGCTTTTTAAGTTCTGGACAGAATTTGTCTGTTTCTAGAGCAGTTGGGTTTTAAAGCCTACAGATCAGAAGTAACACCTTCAGGCTCACCCAGAATTGATTGGAAACCTATACACACTAATGGGGGTTACATTTTATTAATCCACTCATCATGAAAAGTGCTTCATATACCATGTCCTCTTTTCAGCAAAAACACAGCTCTCCAGTCTTTATCACTTGGCCTGAGATTAAAGTGATCAATAGAAGCATTTTATCAAAACAGGCTCACAGCTTCACGTGCCATACTGAAATGCCAGGAGCTTCTAAGTTCTGTATAGGATTTTTATTTTTGTATCTTTATCATGAATATGTTAGGAAAGCTTTTAGATATATGGGGAGGTACTGAGCTTTATCCTCCCTTGGTTCCCGCCAGTGGATATAAATCATGAAATCTGATCAGTGTTTTCTGCTGTAATCTTAAATTTGCAGTTGTAGCTCATTCATGCATCAGTAGAGGAGGGCTAGTATAAGAACAATGATGTGTTAAATGGTTCTGATTGAGTGTGACATTATGGTAAAGATGAAGCTGCAGTTTTGTTGAAAATCTAAATTAATGGGGTATCTGTTGACAAACTACTTATTAGGGCTGTTTCCACATAATTTGCAGACCTGAGGATTTATAAATGTCACTGTCAAAACTGCTGTGGGCTGGCTTTCAAGCAGTTACTGAATTATTTTTTAATACATGATAGAGTCTAAAGATCTTTTGAGGTGCAGAATGCTGCCTCTGTAACATACCTGGACTGAAAAGCTAGTACTTCTTTTTGATGGTGTTATGGTTTAAAACAAAAATTCTATGGTGATTGTGAGGAGTTTCAGTAATTATTTCTTCCCCAGAGTTATAAAACTTCAAAACACTTGGAGAAATAGTAATGCAAAGTTCTGTTTCTGCACATGATAGATACATCAATAATAAACATGGTCTTTAATATGTTTTCCAATGTTAATCACAGTACGGAATGCTAGGAAAAACCACATGAAGACATTTAGAACCAGATATAAAACAAAAACCATGTTCTTTTCCAAGCCATTTAGTATTAAAATATTTTAAAGGTAATCAGGCACCCTTGAAAAAAATAATCTGCTGAAGAATATTAAAAGTAATGCTGATGCAGATTCCAGTTCAGAGACCTGCCATGTTGACCTATGAAACATGTGTTTACGTCTATTTTGGTTTTCAGTAAGTTTTTTTAAGGTGCATTTCCCTTATTTTGGGGTACTAGCATTTGTTAAATGTGAAAAGACTGACCTTTCCATTGCTATTGCTCTTAAACGAACACAATTTCAGCTGGGACATCCTATTGTCTATGCTAGATTATTTTAAGCCATTAAGAGCAGGTTGCAGTTAACTAGATTTGGATAAAATTATTTTGTTGGTTTTTTAAAATAAGGATTAAAAGATTGCATAGAACATTAAATCATTTTTATGTTATGGCATAAAACTTTTTATTCAGAGGGTCTGTTAAATTAGAACCTTCTTGATCTTTACATCATTTATCTGTACACGTGACAATCTAAGTTTCAAAAAATAGTCAAAAACCAAGTCTGTCTCCAAATCCTATAAAGGTTTTTCATTATCTTATCATGTGATAATGAAGTGTCACATTGCAAAGGCTTATATTTAGTGTAGTCTATTTATAGTGAAGAAATGCTCTCAAAATTAAAAAAAAAAAATAGTACCATTCAAAAAGAATAAACAGCTATTGTAGTTTACTTTGACATGAATGTTCAGCTTTCCAAATTTACTTCTGTACCACATTCAGAATTAGTTCACTGTATAGAATACTTCAGAGTTATATTCTTCAGTGAAAAAGAGTTGGAGGGTTTGATTTTGGCACTACTACAGTATTTTGATTTCTAAGTTAGTGTGTTTTTCTTGTCATTAAAATGTTACTTGGACTCAAACTGCTGACCTTTCAGGATTTGCACAAAGTATTCAAAAACTGAGTTCTGAACATTGGCCATGAAACTAGTGTCCTAACCTGATAAATGGATTGGAAATAAGCTACCCAACAGTGAGAATGGACCATTAATTTTAATCAAAGGTGATGTAGAAAGGCGAATGGGATGCATGACAATGTCAACAGCCCAGTAGGTGTTAAGGGGCTACACAGCCTTACTTGTTACTAGGTAGTGCCATTAGTTGAGCTTGGGTGAAGACAGAAAGCCATGCCTGGAATTGAATGACCAGGTCACTCCAAATTCTAATGGAGAAATGGTGTTTCAGACATACCGATGTAATGATATCAGAAATCAAGGACAATAGTTGAAAAAATGTTAAAGGGTGGCATGAGATTTTTTTCCTTTTTTTTCCTTTTTTTTTAAGGGAGCTTCTTTTGCCTTTTGCAGTTTTGTCTTGCTCACTCATTATTATTTATTGAAATACTCATCTTTAATATTTTTAAGCCATAAAGTTGTAGATGTAATGTTAGCAGAATGTCTAAATCTTTCTATATTCAGAAACTGGAAAAATTCTACAGAATCCAGAATGCAAGAGAAACTAAAATTATGGGTCTTCGTTAATAAATTTCTGGGAGAGAAGGCTTTTCTTGCTCTTTTTCTTTAATAACTTTATGCTAACATTAAAAATAAAACCAAGGCAGCAGTGACACTTTATCTACATTTGTGGTGTTGGTAGGATTAATCTTAACACATCCAAAGGTGGAGAGACTCTTCTTTCAATCAGTGAATATACCTCTTTATTTTGAATATTTGGAGGTTATAAAATATTGTATGACAGCTTGAATTAATGATGTTTATAATGAAGACATAAAAATGCAGGGATGACAAAGAAGCATTTTTATATCCATGCTTCAGGTTTTCTACAAAGGTTCATTTAATCTGACACAGCATTGCATGCATAAGAAAGATATGTATGACTGCATTAGTAATTCTTGCACTCTTATTTAGAATAAAATTAATTATGCTGCTGTCTACTTAATGGAATAGTTTTATAAACAGTAGTTCTTATTTTCTATGTACAGCTGAAGATCAGCTTCGTGCAAAGGGTTATGACAAAACACCAGACTTTATTTTAGAAGTACCAGTAGGTAAGTCTTTTAAAAGAATTTTTATTATTTTGTGTAGAAGTACTCATGCTAAAATATTATGGCTACTTAAGTGAAGCATATTCTAGGATACTGCAAATAAGTCTCTTCATGAATTACCCAATAATTCTAAGAACTTCTAATTTCAGTCAGAGAGGTTTGATCCTAAACAGTGTTACCCAGTGTTTCTTCTTTAGTGTCTGCATGTTTTTATCTCATTATCAAAAAAAAAAAGAAAAAAGCAAGAGTAAAAACCTCCAAATCCCTGCTCCCTCTAATGTATTCTACCCACTCTCCTTCTGAACTAAACTCTGAAATAATCTGTCCAAAGTAGTTTTAAGATTATTACATTACACCTGTAGGTCATTGCAGAAAGGTTTGTCATTGTGCAGTTATTCTTTTACCACCACTTTGCATCCAGATACAACTCTGCAGGTTTTTACTGTTTTTTTAAAAGCCTGAATAGCAAGAAAGAATAAGGTAAAAAAATAAGTATAAAGGTCATGTTAAAGTTTCTGGTCTTGAGGCCATGTGACAGCACTTGAATATCAGCAAGGAGGGAGAATCCACAACCTTTGCAGGTAACGTGTGCCTATGCCCAGGCACCCTCATAGTGAAAAAGTGGTTGCTAATGTTCAGGTGGAGCCTCCTGTGTGTAAGTTTTTACCCATTGCCTCTGGTTCTGTTACTGGACACCACTGAAAAGAGCCTGCCTCCCTCTTTACCTGCTCCTCAGAAAGTTGTGTACATTAGTAAGATTGCCCAGTAATGTGGACCATAATAAACACAGTACCTACTTGGTGTTAAGGGTACCCACTTTTATATTAGAAACATGAGATTATGTTGCACCTATTCAGGATCCTGATCAAAAGGAAACTAGAAAAGCAACTTTTTTTTTTTTTTTTTTTTTTTTAATTCTTGAGAAGGGATACCAGGGAACAGCCAAAATAGTTATTTTTGTATTATTACCCTACTAGAAAGAAGGTTAAAATTAGTCATTAATTAATTTGCGTATATTTGTCTCAAATTCAAATAATAATAGTGCATTACTTCTTTCAAATTATTATAGTCACTTGAGACTTACAGGAAATCATGTTCTACCTGTTGTCTGACCTGAATTAAGGAATAGCAATCCTTGGATTCTTTTCTTCATGACCTAGTACAAACCCAGGAAAGGCAGATATTTCTTAGAAACAGCATCTGAGCTGATTATACCTCAGCTTTTATACCTCCTGGGCTCTAAAGGTGTTGGGGTTGGGGAAGGATGTAGTAGTGTAGGCTACACAAGTTAACTGGGTTACTGATAGCAGGGTAGTGGTGGCAAATAGAGCTTAGTGTGGTGACTTCATTAGTTATTTTCCCAGATTTCCTGAGTAATTTTGCCATCTGTGGTCAATCATTTGCTGCTACAGCCTCTTGTGATATTTTTGTATAGTGTTTCTAGGTTTCTAGGTTTGAACATTCTCTGAAAACCTCATTCCAAGTCTTAAATTTAGGCTAAGGCATTGTGGTTGTGGATATTGTAGGTAACTCAAAATAAAGGTAACATTTTTAAAGATCTTAACAATGATACCCAAAACCACCTTTTTGGAGAAATAATGGTCTCTTAGAGTGATGCTCATTGTTTCTTCAGCAAAATTACATTGTTGGTTTCAGAGAGGACATTCCTTTTTCCAAAAAAAAAATGATTTTATCAATATTAGTAGTTCACTCCTACAAGAAATGAGAAAAGACATGAACCAAAGCAAATACTAAATCATAGAAAGAAAAAGAAATTCAAAATCACATTTTTTTCACATATGCCTTCTTACTCCTAAACTGGTTTTACAAAAGAAAGGAAGCAGACACATGTCCAGGATAAATTTCCTTCCCTTTCTTATACCTTCCATTCTGGATTAGTGGCAAGTGTCTGTGTTTAGCAGCTTTGCTAACTGTTTTTATCATTCAGCAGAAGTTTCCAATTTCTTACCTGACAACTACCTTCCAACAACATAAGGGTAGTAGAAGAATACAACTGCTTCTTAGTCTAATCTATTTTTCTTTATGTTCTCTTTGTGTTAGAATAAATGCAGATATGTGGAACAGGGTGTAATTAAACTGAAATTCATGTTATTATCTGTTAAAAGTATTTTCTGGTATTTTTAAAAATCCCTTATATGAAAGATAATTTCTACAAATATGTAACATGGTTGCAAGCATGAATTGTGTGGTAGACTGTGGAGTAAACAGAATATTCCCTAACACAGTCTTAAGGCTGTTGAGTGTGATTTTTACAGTTCAGTTTATTTTCTACTGTCACCATAGCTGTGGAAGGACACATAATTCACTGGATTGAAAGCAAAGCCTCATTTGGTGATGAAAGTAGCCACCAAGCCCACTTGCAAGACCAGTTTTGGAGCTACTGGAACAGGTATATTTCTATTCTTTTTCCCTTATAGAAAAAGAGGACTTCATTTTAAAAAGAAGTTATTGGATACAGCACTACTGACTCTGCATGTTACTAATCTGGCATTTTGAATGTCATTAATTAGCATTTCAGGTTGGTGTGCTGAAATATTTACAGAAAATTGAGATGTTAATTGTTAATGTGCAGCAAATATATATGGTGATTTTAAAGTGATGCTAGATGACAGAGTAAGTTATTTTGGTACAGAAGTCAGATGTCAGTTTTTTAATACCTTAGAAAGAAGACTTTGCTGTAACATTTTGGAATATGTGCAAAGTAACAAATTTGTTTAAAAAATCTTCCCCATCTAACCAAGTGGGGTTTGTGTATAAAGGACGTTATTGCTCATTGTCATTGTAAGTAGGACAGTATGTTTCACAATGGTTATTTATTAATAAAGTATTTCTTTTGTACATTTGAAGCAATGATTACAATTATCTTCAAGTTGAAAATGTAGTAAGTATTTGCAGGATAGAGGGGGAAATAAGTTGTGCTAGACAGAATTTGTGGCATGTTGATAGTGTAAAGTTATTTTCTTTTAAATATGGTTAAAATACTTCTGCTTTATTGTTCTAAAAGTCATTATTGTGTGTATTTATAAATCTTTCCATGGTACTAGACACCTCCTTAATTGAGGAATTTTTCCCCAAAAAAATATTACAGTGCTTCATCTTCAATGCCATTTTTCTATGTATTAGAACCCTAAGCAAGATAGTGAGGCAAATAAGAATTTTAATAACAGATTTTTTTAAAGCAAAAATTCAGAAGTCTTCTTAGTGTCCACAGGAGACCATGAGAGGGATAGTGGAGAACATGGCACAAGTGTGTGAACATGCAACAGAAAGGGGGTGTGTGCCAATATCAGAGACTAGTCTGGTGACCATTAGTATTTCACCTGAATGTGAAAATAACTTGCATTATCTTTGGAAATACCTTAAAAGCAGGTTCAATAGAAAGCAGCTAGAAAGGGAAACCAGATCTTGTTAATAACATCATCAAAGTGCAGAATTATGCTCTGCAGCAATATTCTTGATTGATACTAAAAGGACCTGCTCTTACTTGACAATCCCAGAAAGCACAGATTTGGAAAATTTGAATCAAGCTACTGGGAAACTTGGAAGGCTGTCAATTGTTGGATGAAGATACTATGCTCTAGAAGAGTTGTAGAAAATAAATTGTAAAACACAGAATATAAAACCTAGAAATTTGAGTATATACAATATCTAGGCAAATGGTGAGAATGGCAGGAAAGATTGTGATGCAAACAGTGCTGAACTGAACTTCATTGTAAAGGAAATGGAGCAGCTCAGGCTGGGAGGAGACCATTAGATGTACTGGAATACTTTCTCAGTGTAAAGGGTGTGTTTGAAGGCATCCATTATGGTATCAAAGAACACCTCCAAGAAGTGAATTTTAAACTGATAGCTTGAGTGTAAAGATACTAAGTTGAGATATGGTGAAACTTGCATTGACAGGTAGAATGAAGGCACTGATCCAGTTGTTGTTTGTAATAAATTTTTCATTGCAGTTTCTGTCTTTTTTCTTTTTTTTTTTTTTTTTTTTTTTTGTGCTGTGGAGTGTCTATCCACATTTTAGTGTAAAACATTTGAGAACAGTGTGTACCATTTGCATCTGACATTTCCAAAGGAAACTTCTCTTATGCTTTTATCAAGAAACCAAGTCGTTGCTAACTTCATTTTAATTTTAACGTGCACCAATTAATAATTCAACTTCAAAAAATGGAATAACATCTCTCACTGTGCTGTAAGTCAAGTACCTTTAATGTTTCAAAAGCTAGACTGAAATGATATGTGACCAATAAAACATTTTGGAAGTAGTTTTGAGATTTTTCTAAATCTACTGTTATAGCTTTTGTATTGGAAACAACTACAAAAATGGTTGATTCTTAAATATAGTGAATTCACATTCATATAAAGGAAACTAGAACTCTCCATAGTAAGATAAATACACCCTAAATTGAAAATTTAGGTTAATTATGGAAATTAGGCAGATTTCTGTGGGGATTTTTTTTAAAGAATAAATCCTATTAGTTTTAATTTTGGTACTGCTTGGCCAAGCTGACAGAGCCACATCTTCTGAAATGAGTTCTGAATTACTGTAGTTTCTAATATAATGACATTTGGGTTAATGAACACTTGACAGATTAGGTGGCATGTAGGTTAGACAGTTAACTTTCATTGGTCTCTGGAACTATTTGTGTGAAAGAACACAGGTGTAACTGCACAAACTGTGAACCAATTCTGTATTATTTAATCAGTCTCTGCAGACGTCTCTCAAGAGACAACCAGATTCTCAGTCAATTCACTGCACCTTTTTGTCTCACTTCCTCTTGAAAGAAAAATTATTTGGAGAACAAGCATGAGTTCACAACAGAGATGATATGGCACTCAAGTAATAGTTTAGGGTTTTTTAAACCTGATCCATTGGTTGAACTTAAAGCAGAAATTAAATTCAAGAGAAAATCTGTGTCACCTGTTAGATGTGGATAGAAACATAAATCTACATACTTTGAAAGGAGTGAAAGTGAGAGGATTTAGACCTTTTCTGTTCAGCTTTTTTATTGCTTATCTAAAAATTGTGAGTCAAACTGGAAAAGTTTCTGTGTTCTTTTATCACATGTCACAGATGTAAGATGAATTTTATTCAGAATCTGACTGAGAGCTTTGAACAGAGCTGGGGCTTGTTTGCTGTTATGTGTGTATTTCATTAAGTCCTGTACTTTGTGCTAACTAAATCTGTGAGTGTCTTAAATTGGTCTGTACTGACAGGAAAGAAATGGCACTTTCTCATTTAACAGAACAGCTCCCTAGATGCAGTCAACCATGTCTGTTCACCTCAGTGCAGAAGAACACCTTTTTATTACTCTGAGTTCTGCAGGGACAGCTTAGCAAGGTTTTTTATGGCTCATACATCAATGGTATTGTTAAGCAATTTTCAATTGCAGTGGTGCACTGCAGCCTCATCTTCAAATTAAGCTTCACATTAAAAATGTACAAAGTGTACCTTGTCAGTGAATTTGCACAGTTATAATTTAGGATGTTGTTTAGATATTGAGATTTTTTCAATAATAAAGAAACAGGTAAAGGCAAGCTTGGTCTTGCATATTCCAAAGTTCATTTTGTAGCATTATGTTTTAGACAAAAAGCTATTTTATATACTGGACAAACTTAGTATGAGTGATTAATATACTTCCCTCAGTTTGTTTATTCCTCCAGAGCGGTGGCATCCACTGAGCAGACTGTAGCTTACACTGCCACTGGGTAAAGAAAGAAACTCCATGCACAAAATATAGTTGCTTTGTGCACCAGTAGTAGCTACCACACTTCTCATTTTTCACTGGTCTACATTGGTGTATTTGTTGTAACTATGAGAAGAAAAGCTATTGAATGGTTAGTGTGACCAAAGGTAATTTGGAGAGCATGAGCAGCAAGTTACACAGATTACATTTTAAAATGGGGTCTGTGAACATGTTGTAAATTATTTTAGGGTTTAGGTGAATGTTGCTGTTTCTTTTTCTTTCCTCCATAATGTCTGATTTTATAACTTTTTTTTAAACTTAAATTAAAAATTGGAGTCCTAGCTGTAAAAGTCTGTTAGTCAGAGCTGACAGGCATGACTACTGTTTTCTAAGGATATACAGATCAGCAACACATGGTTCAAACAGTAATTAGTGGGTGCACTGTCAGTGACTTGCTGTAAGATATAAACTCAAATACAGCAATTTATATTTTCTATCTTCTTCAAGCATGGCTAAGGCGTATGTACAGTCTGGAATGCAATTTCTAAAGAGTCCCAGGAGATAGCTTGACGTCATTATTAGCTAAAGAAACTTTACTATAGGAGAGGAAAAACATAGGAAAATGTCACATTTGACACTGTTACTAACTAAAGGCAATTTCATGTAGTGAAAAATAAGCATTTCATCTTCTATTTGAATAAAAATTGTAAGTCATCTCTGTACTCAATTCTTTCCACCATTTGTTTGTGTTCTAAATGGTTAGTCCTGTGCTTCTGCTTTTTTGAAAGAATGAATAAAAGCAAGTTTCCCGTAAGTAATTTTAAAATAGTAACCACACTTTTTGGAAGCCTAAATTCATGATTCATTATGTTGTTAATTGATACACTATGCCTGATCTTGGGACTTCATAGCTATAAATCATAGTAAAATTATTAAATTATCATAGAGCCCTGTCAATTAATAAAAGGGTATTTAATTCAGATAAATTCAAGGAGAAATTATGCAAAGGATTGTATTTCACAGCACAAACACAGACAATGTGTTCCTAGGTTTTTGTGAGAAAAGTGTTGCATACAAATTCATTTACAATTGACAGTAAGGATGAATTCTATGTGAGCAAATCCTGAATCAGGAGATCCTAATTACAGGCATTTTTTGCTGTTCTTCTCTTTAAATTGGTTTAACAGGTTACTGTGAAGACTGTTGAAGTAATAATTGTTGTCTGGTTGTAGGTCGTAGGGAAGAGGGAGATCTGCTGTGAGTTTGTGGATTTCTGTTCTATTAGCAAGTTTAGTATTCTTCAGTTGCAGATAGTTTAAAAAATTGTTTTGGTGAGTTGAAAACCATTGTAACAACTTGACTTAGAAGAAATCTTGGGAGTTACAGTTGTCAAGTGGCTAGGAAAACTGTTCATGCATACCCAGTATCCAAAGCGGCCCAAACATAAAGAGCTGAAAGGTCATTCTTCTTCTTGAAGTATGATGGTTTGTTGACATATTTTGACATACTGGTACAATGCTGAAAGGTTTTGACCTTACTGCAACACTGAGGGACTTAGGGTTTGTTTAGCTATCTAATGCTTGTAGATTTTCACACATGCTGTGTTTTGCTATGCTCCTTTTTCTCTCCCTTCTGGCTCCACTTGAATTACTAAATTAATCTTAAACAAAACTGGATGTAGATAGAATAGAGAGTTTAGAGTGAT